ATATACATATACATATACATATACATATACATATACATATACATATACATACATACATACATACATACATACATACATACATACATATATAACCAGCCCTTCCCAAGATGTCACTCTTCAAATGCAGTTTCTCAAATTACAATCAGGATTGCACCAATCAGAAAAAGATCAAATATATATAACTGTGCCTTTGAATCAGTGTTGACTCCCAGTGACTTGTCTGGACAATTTTCCTGGCAAGATTTCAGAAGTGGTTTGCCCTTCTTCTTCCATGGCCCAAGGTCATCGCGCTGTCTTTGTGCCTAAGGTGGGATTAGAGTTTCTGATCTTCAGGTTTCTAGTTGGATGCCTTAACCACTACAGCAAACTGACTCGAAGACATTAAATAAATAGATCAACCCTACCCTGCCCTCCCTTTTCAATTGGGAAAGAAGATCATTCCTGATAGTTGGATTCTTCCTCTTGCTGAAAGAGGGTGAATGTAAATCACCTCTCTCTCTCCTGGGTGCAGGGTGACAGGCGGAGAGCTCTTTGACCGCATCATTGAACGGGGCTATTACACAGAAAAGGATGCCAGCCAGCTCATCCGGCAGGTGTTGGAGGCTGTGAATTACCTACACGATCTGGGAATCGTTCATCGGGATCTCAAAGTGAGTATGTTGGGATGCTTTGGGGTATCCAACAGGTCCCAACCTTTGTATGAAAGAAGGGACCCCTGCCCCCCAAGACTAGGAACCATGGTTTGCTAACAGACATTTATACAGTATTTAGCCTGGTTATTGAGTTAACCTATTTTTTTGGATTTCCAAAATAAATTGAACTACAAACTACCTGAGGGATCTGTGTTGGCACAAAAACTAAGTTTCCATTACCGCCAAAAACAAGGCTAAAAAATATATGCGAAGCCTACTTTTTGGAGTTCTTTCCAACCTTTTGCTGTAAGAGTCACATCACTGGGGGGAAGTGGGAGGAGGATTAAGAATGGTGCAGTCAGCCTAATTCTAGGTCTTACCCATTCCATAAGGTTGTTTGGGGGGAATTTGTTCTGAATTTTGTTCTTTGCCATTCACAGTTGGATTTGGCCCATTTTTGAACTTCCATCTTTCATTGATTTTTCCCACCATGCAAAATTTAATCCCATTGTCCCAGTTTGCAGAGAGTTTTTCTGCTGAGACTCCTGAACATGGATGTAATATAGAACATAGAACACATGATATATATTTGTCTTACCTTCAGTTGAATTGAGAATAAAAATGAGCCAGGGTTGTGTTGTATGTTGAACTGGCCCAGTGTGCTGTACAGAAGCAGCTTTGCTTTTAAGATGTCAATGAGAACACAGATGTTGTAATGTAGCCAAGGTATTTGGTTATGTTTGTAAAGTAGCCAAAGTACTTTATCATGAATGCTGAAGGGAAGAGGTTATTTTAAAATGTGATCTACACATTTTACTTCATGTTACTTCAATGTGTAGCCTATCTATAAAATCAGCTCCTGGGTTTTGTCTCTTTGCCACATGTTGGCATAACCAAGATGTAAACTAAGAGTGAGGCTACATGGAAGAAGCAACTGAATTTTGTATACTTTTTTTTTTGCCTAGGGGAAAAAAACAGACAAGTTTATCTTAACCAGACTTTATGCCAGCTCTCTTCACATTTGCTGTAAATAAGCAAATGTGAAGCTTTACTGTCAGGGGATACCTTTAGGCCAAAGGTGGCAGTTGGGAGGATCGGGAGTGGGACAATTAGTCCCTCTGGAGTTCTCCCAAATCTCCGCTTTTAATGTTGCAATTAGGCAGCTACTGAAAGGGAATAAGGGGCAGGAATGGTTAATTCTCCTGGTTAATTCTCTCTTCAAGTGTAATCTTATTTGCATTATGACCGAAATTCAGAATGTGAAATTCACTGCAATGTGTTCCTGCAGTTACTCTGCCTTCTGTTACAATCTGTGAGGCAGAATTTAGTCATCAGAACTGTTACGAACTAAGCAAACTCATTTGACAATAACTATGCTAGTTTGCTTCAGCAGCAGGCTTGTAATCCTACACTCCGGATTGGCCCGCGGATAAGCGAATCGTGATTGGCCAATTCTGGCTG